ACAGAATTTATGTAATATTCTTAAATGAAAATTTATACACAAAAAAAAAACTAAAACCATAAAGTATATAAAAACAAAAGATTGGTAGCACTGTTATTTTGGATCATTTTCACGCTCCTAGTGGACAATATTACTAGAGATTATTACAAACCAATCAGAAACGTTCCCCAAAGTACAAAAAGCACCTATCCATCCCTGTCGTCATTAGATTTCAATCAAATAAATTCCGACACATTATAATATTGTTAAATATAAATTTAGTGAAAAATATCAAATCTAATTAAAAATTTAGAAAAAAAAACTCTTTTAAAATTCAAAATGATTTTAATCATCTTTTTCAAGCTTTTGAAAAATTAATCACATTTCAAAATATACAGCTCGTTATCTTAATTAAATATTAATTGAAAATGAACTAAACTTAGAAAATTAACAGATAATTTGTCAAAGTGGAAAAAAGAAGAGACATTTTTTGTATTAAAAAAAAAGCACACGATAAAAAAAACAAAGGTAATATAAACTTCATTTCACTAGAATTTCCGTTCATCTGTTATATTGAAAATTTATCAAGACTTGATTGGTCAAACGTTTCGATTCACAAAACATCAAATTCACGACAAGAGAGCAGAGGAGAGAGTGAGAGAGAAAGAGGGTTGGGGGCAAAAAAAAAAAAAAAAAAACTCGATTACAAATAGCGCTGAGTGGAAAAATTCCCGCATGGTTGGTATATACACAGTGTTTTTCAAATCGACATATATAGGAAATATATATCTCTATTTTCCTCCTTCTCTTCTCTTTTTTTATTTTGCATCCATCGTGTTTACGCGTCGTGCGCAAAATCAATTCGGTTAATTGAGAGAGCACTCGCGGACTCTCATTTTTCCGGTTTCTGGATGAAGCTAGCGAACACATATATATATATATATATATATGTATATAGAAAAAAATAGGAAAAAAAAATCGTGAATAAAAAAAAAAGAGAGCGGAATCTCGGATATGCCGAAAATGGTATCGATGTATTTAATGACATTCCAAAAGCGAAATACCACGGAATAAAGCTTTCGATGCAATCTGCACACGATATAAATGTAACTCCCTTTCCTCTCTCACTCTCCTTCGTTCACATTCGTCAGAATGTTCATAAAGTTGGTTTTTAAATGAAAAAAAAGAATAAAAAGTTTTTTTTTTTTTAATTTCAAAAATACCAGAGAATAATTATTATAAATATCATTATATGTATATATAATTATTAAAATCAAGTTATTAAATTTTTTTTTCTGTGCAAATTTTGAATAATTTTGTTTTAAAAATTTTAAATAAATGAAAATTGCAATTTAAATCAAAATTAACAGTTTTTATGCATAGGTAACGAGTTAGGTAACAGGCTAAAAAACATGTTTTTAGGTTATGTTACCTAAATCGTTTCCAATTTTTTTTTTGGTGATATAACCTAACAATTTATGTTACCTAATTTAGGTAACATAAGCTAAAAAACATGTTTTTAGGTTATGTTACCTAAATCGTTTCCAATTTTTTTTTTTGGTGACATAACCTAAAAAAATGTTTAGGTTCTGTTACCAAAATCGTTTCCTAATTTTTTTAAAATTATAGTACTTATAAACATCATTTTTAGGTTATGTTACCGAAATCGTTTTCTATTTAAAGTAACATAACCTAAAAACACTATTTTTAGGTTACAAAGTTAGGCGGCCTACATGCCGAGGCATGACTTTAGGTATATGCCTGACGTCAGGAGTACCAACGCAACTGCAAAACGTCGTCTGCTTTTGTTGTGTTTGGAGCAGACGACGGTTTGCAGTTGCGTTGGTACCCCTGACGTTAGGCCTGTAAATTTCTAAAACGAAATTCAACTCTAACCTCAAAATTAAGAAATTCAAAATGTCGAATAAGTTTTGAATTTCTGCGTATTCTTTTATGAAATTTGTTACATTGGATTATTTAGGAGCTTTGAATTTGAATCTAACATCAAAATTTGAAAATTCAAAATGACGGCTAGAAAATGAAGGCAAAGTTTTTAATAAGCGCGCCAATTTTCATAAAACTCGATAAATACATGAAATAAAAAAGATTTACTTGTAACAGCAAATGATTTTACTAGAATAGCGAAAGTTTGAATTGAAACAAATAAAACTTTCGCTATTCTAGTGAAACCATTTGCTGTTACAAGTATTTTTTTCCCCATATATCGAGTTTTATGAAAATTGTCGCGAATTCAAAACTTTGCCTCCATTTTGTATCCGCCATTTTGAATTTTTTGAGGTTAGATTAAAAATCAAAGTAATTTTTTTTTTCCTTTTAAATTATAAATAATGGGATAAACGTTTATGTTCGATTTGCTTAAAAAAAAGAGGCCACTATTTCAACGATTATAATAATAACAATAATAATAATAATAATTGGATCGAAGCTTTGGCCTCGCATGTGCCGGAAGCGGAAACCAGAAAATTACGTCACACCAGCCGAATGCGACCCGGTGCTGTAAATAATGTCGACGGCATGCGGTTCTGCAGCGGTTGTAAGAGAAAGAGAAAGAGGGGGTTGAAGGTGGGGAGGGGAGGGGGGGGGTTGAATTTCAGGGCAAAACGCACTAAAATACAAAAGCCCTCTACATCGTGCGTATACAGAAGCAAATATATATACGCGTGTCTACATAACCAGAGGCGCCTGGCTTTTCTCCCCCCCCTCCCTCTCGAAACGAACCCCATCATCCTTTATGCCCCCCCCAACTCTGAATTTCTCTCTCTCTCTCTCTCTCTCTCTCTCTCTCTCGAAATGCTGCTTTGCAAACCAACCCCTCGAATGCTGACCAAACGCGGCGCTAACGTAAACGCACACACCACTGCCCCCCCCCCCTCTCTCTCTCTCGACTCAACGGAACCGTGCTTTGATTTATTAACCCAGCCCAATTGTTCGCGATTCGCTGTAATAATAATTCAGCTGTTGATTAAACGGGTGGAGAGTTCATTTTTACGGCTGATTTATCCCGTGAATGTGTAATGGCACGCGAACGATTCATCCTCTTTTTTTTTTTTTAATTCTTTTTATTTTCTCTCTCCCTCTCTCTCTCTCTCTTTATCTCTATCTATCTCTTTTCAAAGTGATATTGATTAACCCAGTGCAATATTAGTTTCACTCCTATTTGAATTTGGTTAATAAAGCTCTAAATAGCGGAAATTGCTGAAAGGCTATTCTTTTTGTTTCTTTGTGTGTTTTACGATTTTTTTCCGACTCCCATATATTCGAAATTTTGATATTATAAATAACTTCACTTATATGGTAAATTTAATTACTATTAATTAGGTAATTATGTAGGTATTAATTAGAATTTTTATTTGAAAGAATTTTAATAGAAATAATTTTATTTTTTTTTAAGAATTTTCATTTGACGGAATCACTTTTTTTTAAACGAATTTTTGCAGAACGAAATTTTTAAGCTACCGAATTTTTACCAGCATTTTCATTTTACAATCAATTTTCATTACATGACTTTTTATTAAAAACAATTTTAAATTTTAACAAAAATTTTATCAATGAAAAAAAATTTTGAACAAGAATTATTTTTTTCTTCTTTTTTTTTGAAACCAAAAAAAAAGTGCTTTTGTTAAACGTATTTTTTTTTAATATTTAATTATTAATTTTAATTTAACAGAATTCTCATTGAATTGTAATTTTTATGTAATTCGAATTATTAAATGCCATAAATAATAATTCACCGAATTTCAAATTTGTCCCAATTTTTTAATTGATAGAATTTTTATAGACGCCGAATTTTTATTTGTCCGAAATCTCATTCAATTGAATTTTTTAATTTAATAAAAATTCCAATTCATCGAATTTCAAATTTGTCCGAATTTTTATTTGTCCGAAATCTCATTCAATTGAATTTTTTAATTTGATAAAAATTTCAATTCATCGAATTTCAAATTTGTCGGAATTTTTAATTAATAGAATTTTTGCAATGCCGAATTTTCATTTGTCCAAAATTTTAAAATGATAAAATTTTTGTGACGACGAATTTTCATTTCTCCGAAATTTTAATTAATAGAATTTTTACAGACGTCAAATTTTCATTTGTCCGAAATTACAAATTGACCGAACAAAAAAAAAAAAAAAAATCAAAAAGAAAGATTTCGGCGCAATTTTTGAAAATTGACCAATTAAAAATTATCGAGAAAAATCGTGTGATTGGTCAATATTAAAAAAATTGCGCCCAAATCTTTCTGTCGATTGTTTTTGTTCGGTCAATTTGTAATTTCGGATAAATGAAAATTCGGCGTCTATAAAAATTCTATCAATTAAAAAATTGGGACAAATTTGTAAATTTGGTGAATTATTATTTATGTCATTTAAAAATTCGAATTACATAAAAATTACGATTCAATGAGAATTCGCTGTTAAATTAAAATTAATAATTAAATATTTTAAAAAAAAAGTTTAACAAAAGCACTTTTTTTTGGTTTCAAAAAAAAGAAGAAAAAAATAATTCTTGTTCAAAATTTTTTTTCATTGATAAAATTTTTGTTAAAATTTTTGCCATCGATAAAATTTTTTTCTCTGACAAAATTGTATTCTATTTTTTTTTCTTTTTTTTGAAAAATACCTTTTTTTCGTTAAAATAAAATCATTAATTATATAGAAAATTCTTTTTGTTACGTTGAAAAAATTTCTTTGAACAAAATTCTTTTTTTTCTTTTTTTAAATAAAATTTTACGGATTTTTCTATTCAAAAGCTTTTGCCTAATTAACAAAATAAAAAAAAAAAATTCCTGTTTTTGTTTCTGGTGAATAAACATTTTTCCAAATTAACGAAAAAAAAATTTTTTTTTTTCCCCCGAAATAAAAGGAGAAAAAAAATCATATTTTTAAACAGTGAAAATTCGTATAAAGAGGAACTTTTTTTTTACAATATTTAGAAGAAAAAAAAAATGGTAACATAATAATAATAATAATAAAAATAATAATAATATGGGGAAATCGCTTACCACTTTGAGTTTAGCCTGGATTTCTCGAAGTTTTCTCCTAGCAAGGACCTGTATGTGAGACGAGACTTGCTTTCGCGTTCTCGTCTTACCGGTCCTTAGTTTGATGTAACGTGCGATCAACTCGTTGCGACCTGTAAAACGAGAGGGTATCAATCGTTGAGTACAACACACACACACATTCATAATATATATTTTATAAAGCCAGAGATAAATTATCGATAATTATTGTATTTTTCACTTTTTTTTTCTCTTTTATATGCGAGGCGGAAATATTTCATAATAATAATAATTATTATATAATACCTATTGTGAAAAAAAAATAATTTTTAAATTTTCTATAAAAATTAAATTATTCAGGGGAAAAAAAATATTTACCTGAAACAACGAAAGGTTTCACTAGAATAGCGAAAGAATTTAACTGAAACAAGTAAAACTTTTACTACTATAGTGAAACCTTTCGCTGTTCCAGGTAAATCATTTTTTCAAACACAGAAAATTATAAGGCATTATTAAAATAAGCTGCAACACTTATTATTTAAATCCAATTTTGCTTATTTTAATACCAAAATTGATTAAAATAAGCAAAATTGGATTAAAATAATAAGCGTTGCAGCTTATTTTCATGCCTTTTAATTTTCTGTAAAATTAAATTAAAAATAAATATTTTTTTATATTTTAATTTTATTAATTAAAATTCGGTAATTAATAAAATTTATTGAAATTAAATTACTAATTGGAATTAAAAAGCAATTAAAATTTAAATTAATAATTAATTTGAAATTAAAATAAAAAAAAATTAAATTATAAGTTTTTTTTTTTTTAATTATACAAAAGTTTTGTAATTTTTTGAAAAATGTATTTTCTTTTTTTGTTTCTTAAAGTAAATTTTTTTTTCTTCAAATTTAATCATAAAAGACTCTTGAAAATATTTTATATAAGTAGAAGGGTAATATCCTTGAGTAGATTTCTAAGTGCTGTGTGTAGAATAGTGTGTATATAGCAGCTCAAAGCAAGAGGACGGCTTAATAATAGCGCTAAATTGATATTAATCGACATGCAGAGGGTAATTATATCTGCAGGCAGCCATTTGCTTTCAGTCCACTTGAAACAGACAGTTTGGCTCAAACCATAACACAAAAAAAAAAAAAAAAAAAAAAAAAAAAAAAAAAAAAAAAAAAAAAAACGATCGTAATTTTTCACTATTTTTTTTTATACCAAAAAATTTCGAGGAAAATAAAAAAAAATTCACTTCATTTTTTTCTATTTAATTACTAGTTACATTTTTTTAAAAAAATTATTAAATAATTAATTAAATTAAAAATAAAATAAAAATATAATAGGGTTAAAATAATTTTTTTTTGGCATTATGAATGACACTTTATGTATTGTGAATGAACCTTAATGACAAGTTACAAAAGATCGACAACGATGATTAAATTTAATAATAGGGATAGGAACCGTTATTTTTTCTACTCTACTTTATTATTTTAATATTATTATTATTATTATTATTATTGTTATTATAACTATTATTATTATTATTAATATTATTGTTTTATATTAGTGAATTAATATTAAGTAATTAATTTTAATAATTATTATTGTTGTATTAAATTACAAATTTTTTTTTTTAATACTCTTGTATTGTGAAAAAAATTACTTACACCGGAAAATTAAAAAATTACAAACATTTAACCGAATAATGACCCGTTTTGTGGTACAAGTTTTCAGCGTGCGCTACTAAATTTGCCATTAAAAAAAAAAAAAAAAAGTTTGAATACGCGGTGGCGGCGGCAGCAGCGGTTGAGGGCAAAGCGAATTGGTGCTTAAAGTAACTTCCTGAACGCGTGGCGAAGACCCGATATTATCCCTTATATATATATATATATATATATATATATATATACTTTGCTTTAATCTCTGTTCATTCCTCGGGAAACATGTAACGCTTCCCAAAAATTGCCAACGAAAAAAAAAATGGCAAAATTTCACAATAAAAAGCAAATATTTTAATTCTTATACAATTATAATCACTTTTTGCAAAATCTTTCCTTTTTTTTAAATTTTCAAAAATTTTTTTTCTAATTTAAAAAAAAAGTATTAATATCATCCATGAATTCGAAAGTACTAAAAATAAATACTCTCTCTTTCACCCTTCGCCAATTCTGTCACCGGTGATTTCTTTTTTTTTGACGGTCTCTAGGAGAGAGAAAGAGAGAGAGAGAGATTCCTAATTTTTTTTTTTTTTTTGAAGAGCGCGAGCCGTAGTGAATTATTTATTTCATCGCCGCACAGTGTTTGCATTTTGGCGCGCGCGCACGCGTTTTCTTTTTTTTTTTTTTCTTTTCTCCACGAGAAGGTAGGATTAACAAATGCGCGAATAACGTCATTTCGCCCGGAAACAAGTCGTATAATTAAAATGAAACGGGCTGCTCTCAAGTCCGCTGAAAATTTAATATCCTCGTGAAAAGAGAGAAAGAGAGTGTGAGAGAAAAAGAGAGAGAGAGAAAGGCCTGGTTACCCCTCAGACCTTACAACCATTCTTTCAAGGCGTTTTCCTTCGTCCTGACACTTATAAAGTCCCCCCTTTCCCCTTTGACCCCACCATCACCACCACTAACCACCGTTAACTTCTCTTCATCCCTGACCTCACAACCCCCCCCCCTTTACCCCCTTTCCACCTTTTCAACTTCCAAGTCCATCCAATGATCCTTTTAATGAATTTCAGGACAACGCGAGCCACTGGATCTCTAAAAGTTCATTAAAGCTCTAATTGCAACTCGACTGTCGATTATAGCCAATATAATCGATTACAATTTAACATGGCGTTAAATTTTTATATTAAAACACCAAAAAAGGTAAAATTAATCACTTCAGTTGTGAATTAAGCTTAACGATTGAATTGTGTAAAAACACCTTAACAATTTTAGTTGTGTACTACGATTAAGGTTTTGTATTATGAACTCTGCTTGATGTTTGTGTTATGAGTTAAGCTTTATGTAATAGCTATAAACTACGATTAAGCTTTTGTGTTGTGAACTGCACTTAATAGGTTGTGAACTCTCCTTAATTTTTATGTTATAAACTAAGCTTTATATAAAAGCTATGAACTGCGTTTAAGGTTTTGCGTTGTGAACTGCACTTAATAAGTTGTGAACTAAGCATAATGTTTGTGCTATGAACTATACTTAACGTTGGTACAGTGAACTGCGCTTTAGTATTGTACTATGAACTAGGCTTAATAAATTAAATTCTGAACTAAGCTTTAATGTTTATTTTGTGGACTAAGCTTAATGTTTGTACTGTGAACTAAGCTTAATTGTTGTACTATGTTTTACGTTTAGGATTTCTGCTACAAACTATTCTAAATGATTTAAGCTGTGAACTAAGCTTTAATTTTTCTACTATGTACTAAGCTTAATGCTTGAACTGTGAACTAAGCTTAATTTTTGTTTTGTAAACTGCGCTTAACGTATATACTGTGAACTACGCTTAGGATTTGTTTTTCTTTTGTTGTGAACTGTACCTAAAATTTGTACTATGAACTGTGTTTAACATGTATCCTATAAACGTACTGTGAACTACGTCTAACGCTCAAGTTATGAACTAGACTTAATATTCATAACCAGAGTTATGAAACTTAAATCGTTAAGCCTAGTTCATAGCAGAAATAATAAGCGCAGTTTGCAGTACCAAATATTAAACGTAGTCTACAGCCGAATCGTTAAGCCTAGTTTGTAATTTAGTCATACATAGTTCACAACAATAGAACGTTAAGCTTCTTTCACAACAAAAATGTTAAGCATAGTTCACATTCTGTAAATTAAGCGCAGTACAATCGTTATGCCTAGTTCATAACATAAATACTTTAAGCTTATGCATAAACGTTAAGCATAGTTCACATCCCACTAATTAAACACAGCCCACAATCGAATTATCATACATAGTTTACAGTTAAAATCGTTATTCATAGTTCATAACATAAATACTTTAAGCTTATTTCACAGCATAAACGTTGAGCTTAGTTCACAGTTGAAATATATTTTTAAAAAAATTTTCTTTTTAACAATAAACCAGGCGCGAGAATTCTGTCCTGTATATTTGCCCGATTGTCATATAACCATACGACATACTAACGTTATTTCAATTACGTGACATTTCATGTTGCCTGGGCGTCCATTTTACGATCACGACCATAAACCTTAACGGCTGTGAAATCTAAGCAGCGATAAGCCTCAACGCTCTGGCAAATATCCTTTATTACACACGATCCACACCATCACATCAGCTGGAATCAATTCATTCACACGTATCAATGCAACATCCACTCTCACGCGAGTTTCATCCCCCTTAATTATCCTTTTGGGCTTTTACGAGAAATTCCAATAGACACCATTAAAATTTACGACTAAATTAAACTAGACTCTCTCTCTCTCTCTCTCTCTCTCTTTAATAATTTGAATGGATTCAATCTTCATTTTTTTAAAAGTATTTTTCTTCTTTACTTTAATTTTTGATTTTATTTACTTCTACTAATAGTAAAAATTTTTTTTAAAAAATTTACTTTTTTTTCAAAAAATTCACTAAAAATTTTCTTTTTTCAACGTGAAAACATCAAGAATTAAACGACTTTTTAAAGTTGGAACTTTGTTGGTTGTAAAAAATTAAGTGTCACCAAAGAAGAAGAAGAAAAAAAAAAGAGAGTAAGCTGAAAGTCAGGAGGATTTCCTGGTGACGTCAATGAATTATTTTCCCCTTGTGAAAAAAAGTCTTTTTACAGGAGTTTCGAGACGGTTTACGTTCATCCGTAACGTGACTGGCTTTTTGTTTTTTTTTTTTTTTTTTGAAAAAAATCTTTTTTTTTCACTGATAAAAGTTGTGTAGTTTTGAGACAAGAGAGAGAGGAAAAATATTCGTTATTATGTATAGGATAAAAAAAACTTAATTTTTTTTAAACCAACTTCGCATGACTCACGAGTCACGACATACCGTTGACCCATTCCCCCCTCCCTGTTAATTAGTACTTAAGTTTCACTAATGAGAGACTCTTCCTACTGGCGTGACGAAATGTGAAAGGGTTTTTTAAAAAGCAATTTTTCAGTTTCAACTTGAAAATATTTCACACAAATTA